GAGGTTTGCCTCCTTGTCCCCCTCCCATCCCCCTCCGCAGAGGAGGGGGGTAATCTCCCTGATAGCTGACATGCTGGCAAATCCCCCCCCCCGAAGCTGGCTGGACGTCGGGCCTGTCCCTCTACAGGAATATTCAAAAATTGTTAAACAACAGTCTGGGGACGGTTTTCGAATATTTTTGATTCGGTTTGAGCATGTTTGACCATGTTTTTATATTTCGTCCAAAATTCGCTTGTAGAGGGACACGCCCGACCTGAAGCTAGCTTACAAATTGTGAACAGTGCCAGGCGAGCGCTGCTGTTTTTTACCTCCCGGCCGCCTCCTCCTCCGCTCACGGCTGCGGCGGGCAGCGGGCGGTGGGCAGCGCTCCGCGGGCGGCGCCGCTCGCGACGGCGCCCGCCACCGCCCGTGCTGCCGTTTTGGGCTCCGACGGGGCGCCGACCGGGGGGGGGGAGGGGAAATCTGGGGCTTCCAAACCCCGGAGAGCGGGGCAGCGGAGAGAGCGTCATTCTCTGATGTGTTTTTGGGCTATCTGTGGAAAACCGTGGAAGACGACTGCAAGGACGCTTGAAAGCATCTCGTCTGGGGAGCTTGCAAGATCGTGAGAGGAGCTTCGCAGAACTCCCAGAGAGTTTCGAAAGAGTTGCGCACAGGCTTGCGGCAAACGTACTGGGAACGAAAAAAAGAACGCTTTCGGGCCAAATTGGGGTGCGAGGAGACTCAGTTTTTCGTTCGGCAAATTGCTTCCGTTTTTCGGTTGTCTTTTTTTTTGTCGGCCAGGTTGTTTCCTTGTCGGCAATCCTTTGCCGTGTTTCGGCTGGCGCACGGGGGCCCCAGGAGGCTGGCGGTGTCAGGCGTACCAGGGGCCTGGCGAAGGGGTCCCAGGACGATTTTGGCAGGGCGGGTGGCCCCTGCGAATCCATGCGCAGAGGCTCCAGGAGGCCGGCAGCGCCGGGCGTGGTGGGAGGGGGGGTCCCGGGGCGATTTTGACGGGGCGGGTGGCCTTTTGAGAGTCCACGCGCAGAGGCTCCCGGAGGCGCTCGGCGTCGGACGCGGCGGGGGCCTGGCAGGCGGGCCCCGGGAAGCTTTTTGCAGGGCCCCCCTTTGGGGCACCCTCGGGGCATCTTGGGGCCCGATTGGAGGAGATCGATCAGAGGAGGGGCCGTGGTAAATCAGGGACCCCCCCGACGAGGCCAGAACGTGGCCAAAATCGTAGCACAACCGATGAGTTGCGTCTTCTCGCCGAGGCCACCTTGAGCGCTCTAGCCCCTCGCCCCCCCCCCTCCAGACCTAGGGGGAGCGGGTCAGGGGAGGCTGTCCCGCCTGGCAAAATACCCTCCCCGACCGCAAGGGGCCTCGCCCACTCCCACACACCTTCCCAACACACGAATAGCACCCCGACCTCAGCATGTTCAGCGGTCGTCTATTTGTGGACACCTACTGGTAACCAATACAGACCCCATGTGCGCGACGGGGCGAGGTGCGCCACGCATGCCAGGCGCTCCAGGTACGCCAGGCACCCTGGGGGCCCAAGTGTGCCAGGCACGCCTTGCGCGCCAGATGCGCCACGTGCTCCACGTGCGCCATGTGGGCTACATGGTCCAGCCGCGCCAGGTGCGCCACGTCCGGGGCACGCGCAGAGTGTGCCATGTGCACCTGCGCGCGTGACAGCACACATCGTGAAGCATCGCGGCCCCCGACATCTTTGTCGAAAAGCATTGCGCAATCGCGGCGGGGAGGCCGTCATGGTATCTTGTGGGCCTCACACAGAAGGCAATATGCCGGCATCCCAGCGGTCCTTGTCAAACACCAATGCCGCGCACGATCCAGATTTAGCCGCGAAGTGCATGTTGTATTGTTTTGGACAGGGCTGGTGGCCTTGCGCACAGCAGGCAATGTGAGGGCACCCCCGCCGTCCCTTTCAAATACAATACAAGGTGCTCGCTGTGCCCACGAGCATGACCCAAGATGTTGCCCCAAAGTGTGCTTCATAGTGTTCTTGGACAGGGATGGGGGGTGTCACATTCGTCCTGGTTGGCTGCCAGTCGTCTATGGGAAGGAGGGGTGTTTATTCGCAGGGAGCAGTTATCAACCCCTTCCCGGAGGGAGGGAGAAGGGGAATTGGAAGAGGAAACGTTTTAAACCACGCACGCCCAGAGGGCTGGTGTGATTAGCCACCACCACCCCAGGAGGCAAGCATGTGGCTGCAGCCATAGTAAGTTCAATGATTTTGGCCTTCTCGCTGAGGCCCCTTGAGGCGTCTTGTTTGTGCCTCTGGGAAGGCCTCTCCTGGGGTCTTTTGGGGAGCCTTTTGGGGGCCTCCTGGAGGTTTCTTGCGGCCTTCGGGGCACCTTCTGGGACACGCTTGGGAGCCTCGGGGGCCGTCTTGGGATCATCTGAGAAGAGATCGATCCAAAAGAGGGGCCGTACGGAACCACGGCCCTCCCCCCCCAGGAGGCCAAGATGTGGCCCAGATCTTGGAAATATCAGCGAAGTGTGCCTTCTCGCCGAGGCCATCTTAGACGCCCCCCTCCCACCCACCCCCCTCCTCCAGACCCAGGGGAACGGGATACGGGGAGGGGCAAATCCTTCCCCCGAAGGGGAAGGAGGGGCGTTGGAAGAGGAGACGCTTCAAACCACTCACGCCCCAAAGGGCCGGTGGGATTTCAGTTCGGCTTCCCCATCTTCGGATCCTCTCGGGGGTCTGGGAGGCTTCCCTTGGAGCTGTACTTGGCAGTTTGGAGGCTATCTAGAAGCCGTTCGGGAGTGTATGGAGTCCACTGTGGAACTTGCCACCCAAGGATCCCGATTCGAATGACCTCTTTGAGCTTCCTTGGGGTCCCTCGAGTCGCTCCTGGAGTGCTCTTGGGGGGCCGCCTGGGAATTCTAGACGCTTCGCGTATCCCCACCAGCCCGTCCAGAAACGACGCCCAGGCGAGTAGAGGGTCGTCCTGAGGGGCTTTGGGGCCTCTGTGGGCCGTTCGGGATCCTCTTTGGGGCCTCCTGGGGGCCTCTTGGGGCCTCTTGGGGCCATCTTGGGGCCTTTGGGGGCCTCCTGGGCGCTTCTTGGGGCCATCTTTGCCCCCTCAGGAGGCCAAAATGGGGCCAAAATCTCAGTAAAATCAGTGATTTGGGCTTCCTCGCCGAGGCCGTTTTGGACGCTCTGACCGCTCGCGGCCCCCCCCGTCCAGGTCCACGGGGAGGGGGTAGGGGGAGGGGTAAATCCCTCCCCGAAGGGAAAGAGGGAGGGGTGGAAGAGGAAACGCCTTAAACCACCGACGCCCAGAGGGCTGGTGGGATTGCCTCGATCAGGGAAGTGGACAGCACACAGAGGAAGCCAGTATGAGACATCTTGGGATTTCTTGAGCCATCTTGGAGGTCATTTTGGGCTCTCCGAGGCGCTCTTGGAGTCATCTTAATCAGTGCCCCCCCCAAGAGGCCAACATGTGGCTAAAACCTTAGTGCAAACAATGGTTTGACATTATCGCCGAGGCCTCTGGGAGCACCTTGGGTGCCTCTGGGGGGTCTCTTGGGGCCTCTTGGGGGTCTCTTGGGGGCCTCCTGGGGGCCTCTTGGGGGGCCTCTTGGGGCCATCTTGGGGCCATCCTGCGGCCTCTTGGGGCATCCTGGGGGCCTCTTGCGGCCATCGTGGAGGAAATCGATCAAAGAAGAGGGGAGCGTTAATTAGCGTTGCCCCCTCAGAAGGCCAAAATGGGGCCCAAACCATAGTAAAATCAATGATTTTGGCTTCCTCGCCGAGGCCGTTTTGGACGCTCTGACCGCTCCCCGCCCCTCCTGTCCAGGTCAGTGGGGAGGGGGTAGGGGGAGGGGTAAACCCCTCCCCGAAGGGGAAGAGGGAGGGGTGGAAGAGGAAACGCCCTAAACCACCGACGCCCAGAGGGCTGGTGGGATTCTGGCATCCGTCACCCCAGCTGCTCGGGGACCGCCCAGTGCAGGTCCCTCTACTTCAGTCTGTGTTTCCACACATCCTACCTATGCCGCGGTCACCGCGTGGAGCAGCATGTATTGCTCGTCAGAGCCCTGGCCGCGCTGAACGACCAGGGCTTCTGCACGAGTGAGCCTCCTCCTCCTCCTCTCCAAAAAATTGGCATTTGCGCTCAAAGGCCATGGCACGGCGGCGCTGGCACCCCGAGCCTTCATGGAGCCGGCGCGGCGGAAGCTTGCGCCGCAGTCGCGACAGGCAGAGGAGGCCAGTGGCGAGGCATGCGGAGAGGACGTTCGTGACCGCAGCACAGATACCCTGGACGCTACGAGCAAGGCCCGCCGCGCACCGCTCGCGGCCGTCGCTGCCGCGCGCAGCCTGGTGAAGCGGCGCGGCAATGATCTGATGTGGATTTCCGTGGTGCTGGGCAGCGAGATGCTCGGCTACGTGTACGTCACCAGCGAGTTGTTGCAACCAGATGGCGTTCAGGTCCGATGGGCGAGCCTGCTGTGCCAGGCCCTGCTCGCGCTCATGATGGCCAGTTGGGCCGGCGTTAAATACCACGGCCCAGGCATGGTGCCGCCCAGCGGCGCGTCCAAAGTACCAGACGCCGTTGCGCGGGCGCTCAAGGCTGGCAAGTTTTGCGAGAGCCACCCCTTCGATGCCCGAGACAGCTGGTGCCCGAAGTGCGATCATTGGAAGCCTGTCTGGGCTCACCACTGCAGCGTTTGCAACAGATGCAGCATGTGGATGGACCACCACTGCCACTTCACCGGGGAGTGCATCGGTTTCCGGAATTTCAGGTGTTTCTTGGTGTGGTTGTTCTACACATTGATGCTCCTCCTCGCATTGGTGACGGTGGCAATACGCGCGCTTATTGTCTGTCCACCAGCTGGGAATTGGGCATGGGCCCGTTTTGCTGCGTTTGTGGCATTCATGCTCATGTTCCTCCAGCACGCGGTGAGTTACTTCATGTATTCGGTCAGAAAAGTGATCCAGCTGCTTGCGGCAAGTGCTACCATCGCTCCAGCCCAATATTCGGTTTTGGCCGCCTGTGCCTTGGGTGACCCAATGGACCACCTGGGCCGTTTTAGGGCCATCTTAGGCCGTTTGGGGGCTCTCTTGGGCCGTCCTGGGGCCTTCTTGGCCGTATGGTGGGTGCTTGGGGGGCGTGGTGTCGCCGTCTTGGGCAGTCGAAAGGTTTTAAGGCCGTCGTAGATGCATATTGGGCCCTCGCGGGGTCCCCCTGGGTCATCTTTATTTAATCGCTTCGCTCATTCCGCCGGCCCGTATTGTGCCATCGCAGGCGTTTGCTTGCGCGTTCGTGGCCTCTCGGAGCCTCGTTGGGGCCGTTTGGGGCCTCTTGGCGCCTCTTTTTAGGCCTCTTGGAGAACTCGGGAGGCCTCCAGGGGGCCTCCTGAGCTCTCGTGACGGTCTCTTGGGGGGCTTTCGGCGGGCTCTTGGCGGTATTTGTTGGTCCTCTTGGGGCCTGGGGCCTGACGTTGTTGGTCCTCTTGGGGCCTCACGGGAGCTTATTGGGGCGTCTTGGGGGTGTCTTGGAGAGTCTCTTGGGGCCTCTTTCGGGGTCCTGGGCGCCTTCTGGGGCGGAGGGCTCGATTTTTCAGTTCTCGGTTCCCTTCTTGAGCCCCTCTTGGGCCCGTCTTGGGGCCTCTTGGTCCGTCTTGGGCGGCACTTGGGCCGTCTTGGGGGCCCTCCTGGGCCGTTCCGGGGCCGTCTTGGGAGCCTCGTGGGCCGTCTTGGAGCGGTCTTGGGAGCCTCTTGGGCCGTCTTGGAGCGTCCGGAAGCCGAAAAAGCCAGGACGCAAAAAACATCGAAAAAAACAATGAAAATCAACGATTTTGGCCTTGGAGGCCTCTTGGGCTGTCTTGGGGCCCTGTTGGGCGTCTTCGGGCGATCTTTGGCCGTCTCGGGGCCCTCTTGGACCGTCTTGGAGGCTTCTTGGGGACCTCTTGGCCCGTCCTGGGGCCCTGTAACAGGGCTCCGGCATCTCTGGCCCGACCTTGCCGGGACCTTGCCGGGTTTTTTTTCGTCCGGGGACCCCCAGGGGCCGCCCCGCGCGCGCGAACTAGAAATATTGTTAACCAGGTACCGGAGATCTTAGCACGCCCTGGCCCGTTGGGCCGGCGAATTGTTGGACCTTCGCGGGAGCCTCTTGAGCCGTCTCAGGGCCATCGTGGAGGCTTCTTGGGCCGTCTTGAGTTGACGGAAGCACGAACAGACGAGAATGCGGCAATCTTCCAAAAACCCGATGGAAAATAACGGTTTTGGCTTACTTGGGCCCGTGTTGGAGGTCCTCCTGGGGCCTTGTGGGGTCTCTTGCATCTTGCGCCGTCTTGAGGCCATATTCGGCCGCCTCGGGGTCAGCTTGACCCATCTTCGAGGCATGGTGGGCCATTTTGGTTGCATTGGTTGCCTTCCTGGGCCGTCTTGAAGCTCGAGACGCGGACGCATCGTTTTGTTCGAGGGGCCGTGGCCGCGGGAGCGCGGATCCATCGTTTTTCGAGGGTCGGCTGCCTGGGGAGCAGGGGGGTGCGTGCGCCTGTCTGCGGGTCGGGGGGGATCCCTTAGTAGAATGTGGAACAATTTCAGCGCAGCACTTGGCATTCGAACACGCCCACACCGCGCGTGCCTAGTGGCGGATTACCGGTTGGCACTCAATGGTGACATGGGAGAAGTTCAGGGCTGTTGTTATTGAGTACACGGATCAGGCAATGTCGAGGATTAAGTCCCAGCAGCGCATCATCTCGCATGCACAGTTGACAGACCCCCAGGCGTTTTTGGAGGCGAGGGCCGCGAACGGGGCATTGCATGTCTACATCCAGGAGTTACAGCGGTGCCGCGACCGCTTACTAAACGCGGATGGCACATTACGTGGACTTTTCTCGGCGGGCGACCCCGTCAGCAGCTTGTCCGCGATCTTTGGTGAGCCTCTCTCTTGGCGTTGGATTTTGCCGCTGCGGCCACGCATGTCGGGCGACCCCTTCACGCCAGGCTCCTACGATGAGGACGCGTGCGCCGCCTGGGAGGCTCTGGCGGACTGCCTCGAGGATGGGGAAGGCGGATAAAAGGGCGCAATGCTAGACCAGGAAGGAGGGCATTCCAGCAGGCACTAGCCAAACACATACCCGAGACGTACCCAACCTCTTCTCCACGCGAGGCGAATAGTTGTATGAGCGCTCAATACACAAGAACTGATCGCCAGATATGCGCGATCTCCGCTGCCCTCACCTCCGCCGCGCCTCCCAAGTGCCCACGAAAGTGGCGACGGTTCGGTTTCGCAGTTCGCAGCCCCCGAAGGAGCCGCGAGGTCTCAAACCGATCTGCATTGCCCTCACCTCCGTTGAACCTCCCAGGAGCCCGCGAGAGTGGCGACGGTTTCGCAGTTCGCAGCAGATTCGCGAGGTCTCAACTAGATCCGCGCTGCCCTCACTTCCGCCGCGCCCCCCAGGAGCCCACGAAGGTGGCGACAGTTGCGCACATCGCAACCCCCGCGGGAGCCGCGAGGTTTCAAATGAATACGCGGTGCCCTCACTTCCGCCGCGCCGAGCCCACGAAAGTGGCGACGGTTTCGCAGTTCGCAGCCCCCGAGGGAGCCGCGAGGTCTAAAATAGGTACGCGTGGCCCCCCGCTCCACTGGACCTCCGAGAAGCCCACGAAAGTGGCGACACTTGCGCAGTTCGCAGCCGCCCCGATCCACCCCAATGGACTTCCCAGGGGCCCACGAAAATGGCGACAGTTGCGCAGGTCGCAGCCCCCGAGGAAGCCGCGAGGTCTCGGCTGGATCTGCGTAGAACCCCACTCCGCCGTGCCTCCCAGGAACCAACGACAGTGGCGACATTCGCGCACTTCGCAGCCGCCGAGGGAGCCGCGAGGTCTCGGCTGGGTCCGCGTGTCCGCGTGTCCCCCCCCCATTCCGTCGTGCCGACCAGGAGACAAGACAGTGTCGACAGCTGCGCACGTCGCAGCCCCCGAGAGGACGCACAAGATGCAGGAAATGGTAGACGGAGGAGGGGGCGGGGAAGGAGAAGCGCGAGCAGTGCTTATTCGAAATGAGAATGTCGGTTGTCGTGTAACGGTTGGCATTGACAGGATTAGCGTTGATTGGTTAGCGGTTCGCTTAGCAGCTCGCCCATTTCTGTTCAATTTCACAGATGCACACCCAATGTCTACACGTTTTGACGCTTCGCGTATAGCCCATCCAGGGATGATTCCCAGGCGAATTGTCTTGAGCGGGTATGGTTCAGGAGAATGACACACGCACACACGCAAGGGGGGCAGCCGTCGGACCGAAGCTGCGGTTCTGCCCGAGCTACACCCCGAGACGACCTTGAAGGCCTTGTCAGCGCTCACGCCAGACGCAGCCCCCAGCAACGACCAACTGGGGGGGCCTCTGGGAGTTTCTTGGATGCGGTTTGGAGCTCGCTCTCTCGGGTGCTCTTGGGAACACGTGTGACTCCGGGGGCTCTCTTGAGGCCTCGTTGCGGCCCGATGGAGCTGTTCCGGAGCGATCTAGAAGACCATCGATGCAAAAAGAGGGGCGCGTAATTCAATGTGCCCGTGTTCCCTGGTCGGCCACAAGAATCGTTTCGTGGGGCCCTCGTGGGGCTGCCGTTGACGCCGTTTTTGGGACACGTCTGGACCCTGGGGTCTCTCTTGGGTCATCTTGAGACATCTAAAGACCACGGGAAGCGGAAAAACGAAAAGTCAAAAGTCATGATCTGAAAAGCAGGTTCTTCTTTCTGAATGATTTGGGACTCTCGGGGGTATTCTTGGGAGGCTCAGTGCCCATGTGGAACCATATCGATGCCGTTTTGGAGCCTCTTCGAGGCATGTTGGAGGACATGTTGACCGACCCTGGGCTATCTCGGATGCAATAGTGGGCTAGCTGGGGCCATTTTGAACCCATCGAGGGCCACCGCAGGCCCTCTGACACCTCGCGCCCCCCATCCCCCGTCCAGACCCCGGGAAGGAACTCAAGTCCCCCCGGCGACAGAAATCGTGGGCATACGGTGTTTGCGGTCCTTTCTCCGACCCGGCAAGGCCAGATAGGGCGGACAAGGCAGGGAAAGTGTCCAAAGTGGCGACCGATGGGCCATGTTGACCCAGGGTGGGTTCCAACATTGTTCCAATATGCCACAAGAAGGCTAAGTTGGCCCTGATGTGACCCCAGAGCCTCCCAGGGATACTCCCGAATGGGTGATAAAACATTACGGTTGTTGACAAACTGATGGTGCTCTTGTTGATGGCTTAAGAGGGCCTCGAGAGAGACCCAGAAGGGCCCCAAGCGCAACGGCCCCCAGGAGCACCCCAAGAGAGCTCCAAGGGGGGCCCGAGAGGTTTCCCCAAGCCTCAGATTCGAGGCTGAGTCCAGCGGGGAGATTGGCGCGCATGGTGCCCCAACGGCTCCAAGGTGCACCAAGAGAGACCCAAGAAGGGTCCCAGCAGGTCCCCGAGGACGCCCGAAAAGAGCTTCACGAGGGTCCCACGAGCCTCCCATGGCTCGTCCTGGCTCGTCCTGGGGCGGCCCAAGAAGCGACAATCCCTGATTCGTGGTTCTTCCCAGGTTTGGCCAGGGGCGGGCCACAAGCGAGAGAGGAAGTGGTGCGACGCGGTACCGAGTTTAGGCAAGGAATGGAGGGGGAGGGGTACAGCGGTAGGCGAATGTTGCGGCGTGGTAGCGATGGGGAAGTGTCTAGTCCACAGGCGAGGGTAGGGGAGGGAAGAAGGGATTTGGAAAGAGTTCGTACTTTAGACACTGCGCGCAGAGGGCTGGTGGGACTAGACGATGCGGGAGAGCTCCCTGCTTCTGCGCCAGGGGCTTGGTTGCCATAGTTGTACTATCCTGGGTCATCGGGGTAGTTTGGGGCGATCGGCTTATTGTGACTCTGGCATTGGGTCGCATGGAGTCCCGGTGCTGGCGCCATTGGGAGATGCCCGAAGCGGCCGACCACGCGTTACACCATGCCATGTTATGAATTGCAATGATCTAGCACGCAATGTGATGTGATGCTATGCGATGTGACCCCTTGGTGCAAACACTATGCAATATTGTTCGGCGATGTGTTTTTGCACTTGTTCGCAGTGCTGCGCAATGCTATGGCACATGTTGCTACACTGTGCCATGCTACGCCACACTTCGATGTTATGCAATGCCATGCCACTGTGTTGCGTGCTATGCTAGGGCAATGATACACAATACGATTGGTTGAGTCAAACGGCGTACGCCGTTACGCCGACAACCGAAGGAGGATATGATATGCGCGGTTTCCGATTAAGTTGGTGTTGTGTTCCTCCTCGCGGTGGCGTGTTGTATGCGTGTCCCTGTTGATGGTTCGTTCTCCATTCCGCTGCGTCTGTGGGGAGGCTTCCTAGGAAGCTCGGGACAACGTTGCGCGCGTGGAATGCCTTCCAGTGTTCAGGTGTGTGGAAGGAGTGGCTGTCGCGCAGTCGCTACTCCGCTCATGGGGCTTACTTCTCCTTCGCTTCGTGGGCGGGAGCACTGAAATGTGTGGCGCGTCATGCACGAATCGAGATGTTTCCAGAGTGGCGTCAGAGATGGTCGATGCAAATTTCTCAGATTGGGGCTCGGAGAATGAGGGAGAAGGAGGCAGATTATGAAATGGACAATGACAAGGAGGAGGCGGAGGAGGACAAGGACAACGGGAAGGTGTTTGATGTTCTGCGGGCTTTGAGAAGGTGTTTGATGTTCTGCGGGCCTTGCTCGAGGTCGTCGCTGGGGCCTCCATTCTTCACAAACTGCCCGGGGTGGAATCCTGGGAGATGGAATGCGGGAGGGAGCCGGCTCCCGACCCAGAAACCCCACAGGGCCGGCGGACGCGTACGAGTATACATGTTCATGACGTCATTTTGGGGACGTTTTCGGGGTTTCTCAGGGGCCTCTCGGGGGCCTCTGGGTGGGCTTATAGGGAGCCTGATTTGCGCCTCTGGGGGGAGGGCTCGACATGCGGGTTCGTGTTCCCCCTCTTGGGCCTCTGCTGGGGCCGTCTGGGATCGTTTTGGGAGCCTCGTTGGGCCGTCTTGGGGCCCTCTTGGGCCGCATGGGGGCTCTCTTGGGGGCTCTCTTGGGGCGATCTTGGGGGACTCTTGCGCGAATCGTAAAAGGGGAACGTGTGCAAAGTCCACCAAAAACCTGTGTGAAATCAATGTGTGTGTGGCCTCCTAGATGCTTCTTGGCCTCTGGAAGCACGCGCGAGGCGTCTCGTAATCCTCTTGGGCCGTCTGGAGGCCATCTTGAGTGTCTTTGAGGCCATCTGGGCGTGCTGTCGTGGAAGGCTTATCTGGCATGTTAGAAGCATCGGAGAGTGGATGTGGAGGCCCCGAGGGGCCAGGAGTCACGTTGACGAGTTCGCAAGGGGACCCCCCCTTCAAACTCGATGTTGGACACCAGGGGATGTGGAAAACGAGGGGGTGACAGCCAATCACCTCGCACTCTGTCTGAATCACCCCTGGCAAGCGGGGTCTGCGGATCTATGCGACTCGAGAGGCTTATGACAATCCGCCGACCCCCAGGAGAGGAGGTTGCGGTTTCCGATGTCTGCCGTTTCCCATCGTGTTGTTTGTGCGTAGGTCTTGTTGATTCGTCCTGCTCTTCCTTTGCGTCGGTTGCGCGGCTTCTTGCGGGCCTCGTGGAGGTCAAGGGGGCAGTTTCTTGAAGCAGTTTCGGGGCTTATGTGGGTTTGGGGGGTCAACTGGGCACGTATTGGGGCCCCTTTGGGCATGTTGGGGGTCGTGGGGGCCATCTTGTGGAGGCGGGCTCCAGGGCTCCCTGCGAATTCACCTTCTTGGCTCCTCTTGGGGCCATCTTGAAAGCCTTTGGGGGCCTCTTCAGCCATCTCTGGCCCTCTTAGGGCCTCCTGGGCCGTCTTGACTCTATCAGAGGGGGACAGGAGGAGGGAGACAGCCAACATGTGCCGCCACTGCAGGGATCGGCAGATTTCGTCGCACTGCATAGCACAACATTGTTCTGCGTGCTCATTGCAGCACAGAAGTTGCAGCTAGTCCTCTCAAAAACGTGCCCTTCGAACCTCTAACCATAGTTCAGGTCGCGCCGTGCTGTTGTATGGACCACCAGGTAAAGAAAAGCAGTGCCATTAGGAGTAGGACCATCACAGCACGAGCAGCCGCAAAACCAGTAGTAATAGCAGGAGGAGCGTGATGATGATGTTGATGATGATGACATCGCTGACGATGACGAGAACGATGATGATGATGATGATGATGATGATGATGATGATGATGATGATGATGATGATGATGATGATGATGATGATGATGATGATGATGATGATGATGATGATGATGATGATGATGATGATGGTGGTGGTGGTGGTGGTGGTGGTGGTGACGATGTTGATGATGATACTGATGATGTGTATTATCCTGATGCTGATGATGACGATGACGATAATAATGGTCATGATGATAAGCAGCAGGAGCCCGCGAAAGCGGGCGCCGCCAGCATTGTTGTTTCTGGCGCTTGCTCTGTTTCTCCCATCGGTCCGACCATACCGACTGCGCGGACGGAGGCCTGAGCGTTGGTCACGCCCGCCGTAAGAAGTCATAAACAACGCACGTTCACGTATGTTACCGTCATGGTCAAATAGTCGACTCCGAAGGGCATTCGACTGATTCCAAGTGTACCCAGGGCGGCAGCTGCGATGGATCGGTTTGTGAACCATACGCTCACTGAATTGGTCATGCATCCGCATATTTCTTACATGCCGTTCGATGGTTCTGCCAGGCTCTGCCCACCCCATTTTGTCCGCTGAAGTGGAAAAGTAAAAGAAAGTAGTAAACAGAAAAACAAAAAAAACGAGGATCACTAGGAGGAGGATGCGGAGGAAACGGAAGAATATTAGAAAGAGGAAGCGATGGATGAGATTGTGCTTTTGGCGCCGAGGGCCCGGGAATCATTAATTATTAACAATTGCAACGTAGCGGTTGTGGCAGAAGACGTTTAAAGACAAAACAACGTATTTGGGGCAACAAGAGTACCAAAGTTACAGCGTACGTAAGAAGACAATTAAGGAGGAGAGGGCAAAGCAGCAGGCAGCAGCGAGGACGTAGAGAAGGGCAAGGAGGGAAGGAGGATGAGAAAGAGAAAGCAAATGGAGGAAAAACACAGAAGGCTGAAGATGATGAAAAATAAGCGAGGAAGAGGAGGAGGAAGCCGATTGTGAGTCCCAAGAGGAGTTCGACGCAGCCATGATTGAGCGAGTCAAGGTCAAGGAGCGGATGGCCGAAGCCGCCGCCCAGAGGGCTGCGGAGGCTGAGGCTGCGTGGAACGACCGCGTGGCCGCTATGTTGGCGAACGCCGAGCGGACGACGCAAGGCAGAGGTGGCATTTGATGGTCTTGCCAGCCATGAAAGAGTTCGCCACCCTCTGTGGACATTAAAGACCTCGACGTCAGCATCCGCATCCTGATTGTCAGCCTCATCATCATCATGAGCAGCAGCATCACCATCGTCGTCATAGTGTGTCTCATCGTCCTCCTTCTTTTCCTTATTGCTGCATTCCGCGCATGCGGCACCTCTTCGCTTAACCTTGCGGCTGTCTCCCAGCGCCCCCGAGGGGATAGGCGGGGAGGGAAGGGGGAAGGGGGAAGCGAGAGACGGTCTGCAATTGACCAAGGAGTCAAAACATTCATCTCGGTAGCCTCCATCTTGGCATAGGGAGTTGCGTGTGCGAATAATGCGCGCGATATGGGGGCGGTTCCGAATTGGCTCCAATAGCGTGGAGGCTGGCGTTGGATGGCCCACGGCGGTTCAGAGACAAACCCATAACCGACCATTTCCCAATGGGGAGGCAAGGGAAGGCAACCAATGTCCGCGCGCGATCCCCCAAGGATGGAGGGGGCAAGAGGAAGGAGGGAGAAGTGAGGAGACAGGAGGGGGGGAGGATCACAGAGGATGATAGGTATGGTAGGTGGCATTTGGCACCTTGAGTTGGAGGTGGTGGCACATGTGCCTTGAGGCGGAGGTACGGGTCACCCCCCCCGACGGCCGTCTTCGTTGGCCGGGGGACCGCGGAGGGGTCCTCGGCCCCCTCCAGTGCTACTTGACGGCGGAATTGAAATTGATCGGTGGGGGCGGGAACCCAAGAGGCCCCATTGATGGAAGCTGAGAAGGGGTGTGAGGCCTATTGACGGTCCTCACCGGCGAGGCCGAATGACGGTCCTTGCCGATGAGCACATGTTCGAAATGCAGTCGTCTTTGAGCGCCCAGTGGAGGCCCAGCGAAGCCAGGCCTACGCACGTCTTGTCCCGCGGATTTCCAGGGATGACGCATGGAACGCACATGTCACAGCATTCGCACCCGATTTCGTGGACAAGCCGCCCACCACAACCTTCTTCCACCAAGGGAAGGACCTGTCCTTCGCACTCCTCCGAAAGGTTCCCCAGGCCCCCCTTCAACACACCTCAGCGCCCACCAACCCGCCCCCTGCACAACCCCCCCGTGGACTTCATTTCCTCTCTTCCCGTCTCCTCCATCCCCCCTTCCCTCCTCCGTCCCACCGCTCACCTTCTCCCAGATTTCGGCTCTTCTCTCGTTCTGTCCTCTGCCGTATTTGCTAGCCCCAGCCCCTTTCCCTCCACCAGTCTGCCTCCCTCCGCCCCCACCCTCGAACAGGGGTGGTGAGCGGCTAGACGCTCACCAGTCTGAGGCTTGCGGGTCGTATCGGCGCAAGGGTCTGGAGATTGTCGCGCAATGAATTGCAAACACTAGTAAGGGACAGTGCTCGTCCCGCCGCTCCCCGTAGTCGTTCTCTGTCTCATATTCGCCCTCACCCTAATGCAGGAAAGGGGCGTTGGGGGAGGGAGCTCGTGCTGGAGTTCAGCCTTCGGGGATCCTACATAAGCTCGGTACGCAAAGGACTCACAGTGCTTATGCCCTCGCGCGGGACATAGGGGTCCCCAGTGCGACGGCGGTCACCGATACTTACGGTTTCCCCCCAGCCCCACGGAAGCCAGGTATGGTGCAGACAGCATTACGATTGAGTCAGATGTTGGTTCCCCCCTCCTCTCCCCCCCCCCACAACGTCCTTATCACCTGAAGGGTGGTCGTATAGGTATACACTTGTACCACCACCCTTCGGGTGATAACGATGTTGTGGGGGGGGACAAGGGAGGGAACCAACATCTGACCCAATCGATCTCACTCAACGGGACACCACGGACGATTGAGTCAGATGTTGGTTCCCCCCCCCTCTCCCCCCCCCCACAACGTCCTTATCACCTGAAGGGTGGTCGTATAGGTATACACTTGTACCACCACCCTTCGGGTGATAACGATGTTGTGGGGGGGACAAGGGAGGGAACCAACATCTGACTCAATCGATCTCACTCAACGGGACACCACGGGACACTTGTCGATCTCACTATCGATCTCACGATCGGGACACCACGGAACATTCGGCGATTTCATGATCGATCTCACTCCACGGGACACCTGTCGATTTCACCATCGATCTCACTATCGATATCAATTTTGGGACACCACGGGGCACCTCGGGGCACCACGTCGATCTCAGTATCCATATCCTTCTCGATCTCACTATCGATCTCACTCAACGGGACACCACGGGACACCTGTCGATATCACTATCGATCTCACTATCGATCTCATTTCTTGGGGCGCCACGGGACATTTCGGGGAACCACATCGATCTCATTATCAATTTCATTCAACAGGACACCATGGGACACCACGGGACACCACGGGACACCTCGGGACACCGCGAGCCACAGCCAGACGGGCGGGCGGGGGAGAATCATTTGTCTTGATTTCGCCTTGGCAACGGCGGACGCCACGGAACACCGCGGGACACCGCGAGCCCCCGCCGGACGGACGGACGGGGGAGAATCATTTGTTTTGATGTCGCTCTAGCAACGGCGGGTTCTTTCCTCTCGCGCGCCCACGCAGCTTCGCCTCGCACGCACGACACGAACGAAACGAAACGACTTCATGGTTGGGGGTCTCCGTCCCACTGCGATCTCACCCCCCAACCTCCGATATTTGTACGACCACCTTTCGGGTGATACCGAGGTTGTGGGGGGGGAGAGGGGGGGAACCAACATCTGACTCAATCGATCCCATTATCCACTATCGATCTCACCCAACGAAACACCACGGGACACTTATCGATCTCATTATCGATCTCACTATGGATCTCTTCCAACGGGACGCCATGGGCCACCACGGGACACCACGGGGCACCGCGGGACACCTCTCGATTTCATGATCGGGTTCACTATCGATCTCATTATCGATCTTTTTCAACTGGACACCACAAGATACCTCGAGACACCACATCAATCTCATTATCGGTCTCACTATCGATTTCACTCAACGGGACGCCACGGGACACCTGTCGATCTAGCTATCGATCTCACTTTGTGGGGCACCACGAGACACCTCGGGGTACCACATCGATCTCAGTATCGATCGCACTCAACGGGACACCACGGGACACCTGTCGACCGCGCTATCGATGTCATCATCGATTTTTTCGGACACCACGGTACACCTCGGGGCACCACATCGATTTCACGATCGATCTCAGTATTGATATCATTATCGATCTCACACCGGTCTCATTATCGATCTCACTATCGATCTCACTCAACGGGACACCACGGGACACCGCGGGACACCGCGAGCCACCGCCGGACGTGCGGGCGGGGGAGAATAATGTGTCTTGATTTCGCCCTGGCAACGGCGGACACCACGGGACACCGCGGGACACCGCGAGCCACTGCGAGCCACCGCCTGACGGGCGGGCGGGGGAAAATCATTTGTCTTGATTTCGCCCTAGCAACGGCGGACACCACGGAACACCGCGGGACACCGCGAGCCCTCGCCGGACGGACGGACGGGGGAGAATCATTTGTTTTGATGTCGCTCTAGCAACGGCGGGTTCTTTCCTCTCGCGCGCCCACGCAGCTTCGCCTCGCTCGCACGCACGACACGAACGAAACGAAACGATTTCCCGGTTGGGGGTCTCCGTCCCACTGCGATCTCAACCCCCAACCTCCGATACTTATACGACCACCCTTCGGGTGATAAGGACGTTGTGAGAGGGGGAGAGAGAGGAGGGAACCAACATCTGACTCAATCGATCTCACTATCGATATCACTCAACGGGACACCACAGGACACCACGGGACACTTGTCGATATCACTATCGATCTCGTTCAGCGGGACACCACGGGGCACCGCGGGACTCCTCTCGATCTCATTATCGGTCTCACGAGCGATTTTACTGTCGATCTCACTTAACGGGACACCACATCGATCTCACACTATCGATCTCACTATCGATCTCGCTGTTTGGGACACCACGGGACACTTCGGGGCACCACATCGATCTCATTGACGATCTCACTATCGATCTCACTCAACGGGACACCACGGGACACCTGTCGATCTCATGATCGATCTCACTATCGATATCACTTTTCGGGACACAACTGGACACCTCGGGGCACGACATCGATCTCAGTATCGATCTCACCATCGATCTTACGATCATTCTTACATCGATCTCACTATCGATCTCACGATCGGACACCGCGGGACACCGCGCGCCACCGCCTGACGGGCGGGCTGGGGAGAATAAGTTGTCTTGATTTCGCTCTGGCAACGGCGGACACCACGGGACACCACGGGACACCGCGGGACACCGCGAGCCACCGCGGGACGGGCGGGCGGGGGAAAATCATTTGTCTTTATTCCACCCTAGCAACGGCGGACACCACGGGACACCTCGGGGCACCGCGAGCCACCGCCGAACGGACGGACGGGGGAGAATCATTTGTCTTTATTTCGCCCTAGCAACGGCGATTTCATTTCTCTCGCGCGCCCACGCAGCTTCGCCTCGCCCGCACGCATGACACGAACGCAACGAAACGATTTCCCGGTTGGGGGTCTCCGTTCAATTGCGATCTGGTTGGGGGTCTCCGTTCAATTGCGATCTCACCCCTCAAACTCCGATATGTACATGGCTGCTCCCCCCAAGATCATGCATCTCGTCTTGAATCGCAGTCGTCCTCATCTCCCTCCGATTCATCTTTACAACCCTTACATTCATTATGTATGCGCATCATACTTATCCTCATTCACCCTGTCGTGCGATTCCTCTGTCGTGTCCCCTGCTGTCCCCTCGTGTTCCCTGCTGTCTCCTCGTGTACCCCTCGTTTTCCCTGCTGTCCCCTCATGTCCCCTGCTGTCCCCTCGTGTCCCCTTTGTGTCCCCCTCGTGTCCCCTGCTACCCCCTCGTGTCCCCCTCGTGTCCCCTCCTATCCTCTGCTGTCCCTTCGTATTTTCTGCAGCCCCTCGTGTCCCCTGCTGTCCCCTCGTGTCCCCTGCTGCTCCCTTGTGTCCCTCCTCGTGTCCCCT